GTGAGAGAGAGAGAGAGAGAGAGAAAGTGGACAGTTGTACAGATGACTGTGATAAAGAGGAGTGACTGATGATTGGGTGAATTGTTGGGAACTGGGATGTGTGTGTGTGTGTGTGTGAGAGAGAGAGAGAGAGTAATCTGAAGTGAGGTCTGATTTTGGGTGCGCCGCCTGCATCCAGACGCAACCTGCATCCAGATGCTACCTGCATCCAGACGCTACCATCCTGATTGTGGGTGGGCCGTCTGCATCCAGACGCTACCTGTGGAGAGGTCCGTGAGGCGTGGAGAAAGCTTGAGTGAGATGTTCGCTGGTACTTTGAACACACTGCTGGAAATGTGGGGAGTTGGCAGCAAAGGGAGGTTGTTTCAGTCTTGAGTCATATGCTCGCTGCCGCTGTGAAGTCCATAGTATGAACAGACCGATGGAGATTCGGTGAATAGGCAGGAATTTCAGGGGACGCAAATATAGCATTTTTTAGTGACAAGTGATGTTGTGACTGGTCTGGTGTGTTGCTATTCTCTGTTTGAGTTCGAGCACTTGTGTTATGACTCTTAGGAGTTCATTTAGCTGTCTGCTACATGTAGGAGCGTGCTTGTGGCAGGAGATTAGGGAGAAGACAGACGACAAGTGCAAGGAAGGAGGAGGGGAGGGAGGGAGGGAGGGAGGGAGGGAGGGAGGGAGGGTAAGATTGAACATCATCCATCCTTAGGAGGGAGTGGGGGGTATGTACAGCTCTGTGTATATTTGCTCAGAATCCCCTTCCATTGGCCTCCTCCATTGGAGTTCGAACGGAAGTTTAAAAAGCCGTTAGGTGCTCCATGTGCCAGTGCTTCAGGGAGATTCCTTGAAGCTACCGCGAAGTTTCTTTGAGGCTGCAATGTATGTAATTTCCGGGTTCCCTTCGCTCCTCTGTAAACTTTTGTAAATAATCTGGACGTGTTTGTGCACAGGTGCAGATCGTAGGCTTGTTGGATATACAGTTGTGTAAGCATGTTGATAAAGTATTCCTGTTTTTTTCGCTTTTGGTGAAATTTGGTGCCAATTCTTGTGTCGACTGATGGTAATCGATTGGTAGTTGGTAGTTGGTAGTGAGGAAGTGGTGGTCCTTATCGATTGGTAATTGGTAGTCAGCAAGTGGTGGTCCCGCGGTTAACCACTTGAGTAATCGGTGTCTGTTGTGCGGTTCTTTGGGACATTGCCTTCAAGTCGAACTGGAGGATAGACTCGATGGAGACCGCGGTGGTCTGGGCTGTACATAAAAATTGGTAGTTTGCAAAAGGCTTAGAAATAGCTGGTTACCTGAACTTGGCTCTTATGTTGTGGAATGTGCAGTTGTTCTAGGCGTACCATTTAGTGGCAGTCACTCTTTCTGGACACGGTATGTGGAGTCTGGTGACGTTAATTTTACCTTCGCCCCGGAAGCATCAATTTGTGTACGCTGTATAGTTGGTGGAAGGGGTCCCACCTAATTTGGGTGAGATGGTGAATGCTGTGTGGGGGGTGAGGAAAGTGGTGGTCCAGGGAACTTAGAGTGTGTTATTGAACAAGATCAGTACGCATGTATATGCATTCCAATGAACATGTGCATCCATTGGCCTCTGGAGAACCGTACGTTGGCCTCTCCCATTGTGTGTGTGTGTGTGTGTGTGTGTGTGTGTGTGTGTGTGTGTGTGTGTGTGTGTGTGTGTGTGTGTGTGTGTTCAAGTGTGTGTGTGTGTGTGAACCCCACCAAGAAGAGATGGAAGCTGATCGCGTCAGAAAAGATGGAGGGTGTGTGTGTGTTCAAGRGTGTGTGTGTGTGTGAACCCCACCAAGAAGAGATGGAAGCTGATCGCGTCAGAAAAGATGGAGGCTGAACGAGTCAGAGTGGCAAAGTTTGCCAGAGTTTAGCTTCTCCAATCTCGCTTCCAAATGACGAAATTCGTTCTCGTCTCGTCAACCCAGTCAACCATATACCGCCCGCAACCACACCCACATCTCCCAAGTAAAAAAAAGCTGCCTCCCTGGCTTGACCCCCCTACCGCCCCTGCGCTGACCTCCCCTTCCTTGACATCTAACCCCCCCACCTTATGGCGGTCCAGGGTAGAATTATGGAGGATATCAGCGTAGAAGGAAAGGGGGGGGTTGTGTGTGTGGGGGGGGGGGGGGGGGGGGGGCGCGGGGAGCACAAAAAGTAGGATGAGGAAAAGACTCAAAAAGAGGAGTTGTTGGACCTGCTTTCCCCCCCCAATAGAATGGAGCCACCATGTATACTTGGTGGGGAATGCTCTTATCACCCCCAGTAGTTCCCGCTTCATCGATGGGTGTTTCATTTTAAGAAAAAAAAGAAAAAAAAGGATATAGTGTAAGCAAAGATTCTCTGTTGCTACCCAAGAGATAGGCCACTGTGATCCAGCGGCCTAGCTCAGTTGGTAAGGCTCGCAAGTGGCATTCAGGAGGTCATGGGTTCAATCCCCATTGGCCTCATGTACCTTCCTGGGCTTACTTGGCACCCGCTACCCAAGAGATAGGCCACTGGATCCCCCGATCGGCATCAAGCAGAGTCTGCTATGTTCGTAGGGGAGGGGCCTGAGGGGAGGCACGGGGGATTGGTCCGCTTTATCCCTGGTGCTACCGGCCGTCCCCTGGCCGGTATCCTGCAGGCTCGAGGGGCCGTAAAAACACGGCTCTGGTATGCTACGGGTTTCCCTGTATGCCTATAGGTAGGAGTAGTGGTAGGTAGGTAGTGTGAGGAAAATTGAGAGAAGAGTATAGTTTATAAAAGAAAAAAAAAGATTCTCTGTTTTTCTTCTTTCTTTTTAGGTTTTCTTTTTAGGTAGGTGGTTCATGGGGCCACAATGATATTAAATTATTTTTTCTCGGCCATGAAGGGGTTAGACGGGCAAGCTTGCTTACGTCACCTTTCGAAGGGGTCAGACGGGCCGCGGTGGAATACGGACGCAACACTGGACCATGTGGGTGTGGTGATACATGACGCGGGTTGGTGCCACGTAAACTGGGGGTGCTGTGGCTTCGATGTGGGGATTATGGGTATGCTACTTGGCGGTGGATGCATTGGTCGACTGACAAGGATCTCTCTCTCTCTCTCTCTCTCTCTCTCTCTCTCTCTCTCTCTCTCTCTCTCTCTCTCTCTCTCTCTCAATATGTTCTGTTACACGTGTTTGCATTCTCATTTGTGGTGCAGACACAAAACCTGATGCAGTCAAACAAACAAATAAAGCAAGAAAGGCATACCGCCCTTTCCTTCATCCAGTGCCATTGTTCAGTTGGTAAGGCACACAAGTGCCATTCAAGAGGTCTTGGGTTCAATCCCCATTTGCCTGGTTGGTTGTGTAAATTTGAAGCCATTGATTCAAGCCAGTATGGAAAACAATGGCAGTATCGCAAAACAAGAACCCTGAAGTACACGAGAGACTATAAATGGACAAAACTTGAGCAGGGGAGTAATGATCGTGTGACCTAAGAATGTACAATGTACTTGGTCAACATTGACCAGCAGAAAACATTGAGTAGCGATGCGGCATTGGGGGGCGCTACTTGAGCAGGGGAGTAGCAATCGCGGGATGTGAGAAAGCCACGCCTCCTGCTCCATCGCTAATTTTCCTCTTGTACTCGATACCACTCCCCCGCTCTGCCGCTGTGTGTACCTCCCTTCGTCACTTGATGCCCTCCTAAAATACTCCGTGCAGCCCACGCTCCTCCTTCCCAAACGGTTCTAACAAAGATGCCCTCACGCGTCTCCTCACAGTGGCCAGAGAAGACCAAACAGAGGCGAGTCCCAGCCAGGGAGCCATCATGGGACTGCTGTCAGAGCCATGTCCGATGACCCCCAAGTGTAACCAATGAAACAGTGCTCCTCTATTCACAACCAACAAATAAGCCTTGCACTACCGTCTTCCCCCGAACACAACACACCCTCATTTTGGCTGTATCTGGCCGGAAATATACCTTGTATACATTCATTTGTGGGGTGCGTTATGTTCGGGGGAAGACGGTAGCCTGCCTGCAACGACCATGATGACAACAGCCTCGCCTTTCCTTTCATATCTCGACCCCTTCAGAATAATGTCTCAGCTATCCACAACACCCATCTCACAGCACCAGGTCAGCATGGGCCCCATTGTCATTTGAGTGGTGCTCGGCGGGGTTTGACGGCTCGGAGGGGTTTGACGGCATCTGCAGAGCCGATAAATTCCGATCATTTGAGTAAAATTAAGAAAGAAAGAAAAAGAAAAAGAAAAAGAAAAGAAAGCTGCACCCCAATCTCACACCGGTAATGCTGCCTCACATGCACAAAAAAATATGGGTGTGTACCTCGAGACTGAATCCTCCTGTAGAACATGGAAAGATACATTGCCATATCTTTTCAATTTTTTTTTGTCTTTTGTGCATGTGGAGAGTAGAGGAGCGCGAGGCCCATTTTCCTCGTCGGCAAACTGAGGGCCTCCCTCCACGAAGAATGAATCGTCCACAAGAACATGGAAAGATACACTGCCTTATTCTTTTGTCTTTCGTGCATGTGGAGAGCTGTGGAGGCAGCCTTCAAACCCCGCATGGACCACGTGAAGCAGATGGGTAAAATACCTCAAGGCCCCTCAAAACATAGGCCCCTAAAATCCCCCGCATGAAGTACATGGAAAGTTCTTTTTTTTTTTTTTTTTTCATAAAACCGCACTGCCACGCCAGGAGGGGCGATGTGAGCACCCCCTCCTAGTGGGCCGCCTGGTTGCTCCAATCTATTGGTGAAGAGCAGCAGCCACTGGAAAGGGGTCCAGCGTCCCACTGAACATCTCAAGGCTGAAATTCACTGTGTGAACATGGAAAGGTACACCGCCATATTCTGCATTACATGGGGACGGTCAGTTCAAATGATGATATCTCAATGCCCCTCAAAAAAATATCCTCCTCTCCTCAAGGCATCCGTTATAATGGGAACGATGCAGCGGAGAAAAAAAGAAGGCCATGTTGGGCCTCCCTCCACTATAAGGGCAAGAAGTATGGCGGTGTACCTTTCCATGATGCCCGGGACCATTTTTCTTTTTCTTTCAAACAAATGCAAAGGCCTTCCCTGGCAGTTGCCCGACCGGGCCACCGGGGCAACCAAGCTAACCAGGCAGCCTGGTTCGTGGTCCAGCTGGTTGCTTAATTTAATAATTTTAATGAAGAGGTGAAGCATGTGTCTGTGCCCAGATTGCTTATATTGCACACTCACACTGCGACTTTTTCGGCTGAACTCAGGGCATAATTGTGGCCAGATGCATCCGGATGATCTCACAATAGTTAGGGTACAGATACGCCCAGCAGAGTCCTAAGCTCCTGATGTAAACCACCACTCCCCGATGTCAAAGAATTCCCAAAATTTAACTAATTTATTAATTCGGCAGTGTAGTGCAATGGGGCGGGAGGTTCGAGCAATGGACAGTGCGCATGATGAATGGGAGACTGGTATGTGGTGTCGCTGCTGTACGCCACCAGTATATGTTCGCAGCCCGTCAGGGTTGCGTTTTCCCCCCCTGAGACATTTTTCGTCGTCGTTCGTTATACCGGTCGTTCATTCGGGCCCATTGGTCGTTCAAAGGCTGGTAAAATGAACGGCATTGGCATTTGGAGGGGGGCAGCAGTTCAAGCAAATCCAAGACCGGTAGCTGTCCGTGGCGTTTTCCTGGGAACCCTGCAGTCCAAAAAAAATTGAAACGGTGTGCGGGCCGCAGGGCCTTGAAATTCGAATCTGAAATGGTGTGGACCCCGATTATCTGCGTGCCATCTGGATTTGTTCCGTGCCATCTCTCTCTCTCTCTCTCTCTCTCTCTCTCTCTCTCTCTCTCTCTCTCTCTCTCTCTCTCTCTCTCTCATCAATCAAACATATACAAACTACGGGCTGCGCACCCGTGCCCTCATGGTAAGTCAATAGGCCTTGATAAAAAGGAGGACTTTGTAACCGACCCCGGACAACATTCCACACCTTTCTTTTGTTCCTTTTTTTTTTTTTTTTTTTTTTTTTTGGGTGAGCTGTGTATCTGGAAATGGACTCAGCGTGGTTCCCGCGTTGAATCTTTCAAAACGCGTCGAGATCACGGGAAAACGGCATTGAACCCAATGAACCACCCCTTAAGCGTGGTTCACAGCGATGCGCGGGCAAAAATAAGCAAAAAAAAAAACAACAAAAAATATAGGGTTGTAGATCTTTTTGAGATCTACAACCCCATATTTTTCATTTTGTTTTTTGAAGTCTCATTACATTTCAAAAAAAACAAAAACACAAAAGGATTTAAAAGAAAGAATAAACCAACAAGAAAAGATGAAATGGGCGGATTCTCCTTTTTTTCACAGGTGTTTTTTCTTATGCGGGCAAAAAAATATGCAAGAAACTTGAAGAAAGAGAATAACAAATATAGGGGTTGTGGATCTTTTGGAGATCCACAACCCCATATTTGTTATTGTTTTTTTTGTGACTTCATATGCATTTAAAAAAAATCAAAAACATAAACACCAAAAGAAACAACACACACACAC